GGTACCATACAAGTACTGAGGCCTCCGGATTCAAAGTGTTCAGGATTCTAGATTAGGGTGGCCTGCCTCTTTCCGAAACTCAGAAAACGATTTCAGGGCTGTGCGGTTTAGATGCTCAGCTGTGCGGCTGGTGGGATTGCTTCTTGTCCCCATCCCGGTTGAGTCGATGTAGTCCGGATGCAAAACTGGATGGGCTCATTGCAGGCACCCTAGAATCAGCCGTGCGCTGCGAAACCGTTTTTGCAGCGAGGCGATGTTCCTGCTTTCAGTGCACAGTCCTGGAGGTCAATGTGCCTCAGCAGCATGATCGACAACCCACAAAGCAATACCATTTTCTGAAGAAATGAATGAATAAGCCAATGAGGTAAAGCACTAAATGAACATAAAGAAATAACTAAGTAGTTTAAACATATATGTATATATATATATATATATAGTGTTATATACTATGATATTGATGTGCACGAAAACCACGGTTCAGCTATGATGGCCCAGAAGTTGTTGGAGTTTTTGTAGTCGGGATGGTCTAGGGTGTAGGCGAGGGACGCCGAGCCCTAAACCTAACACTAATTACTACAGGGGCTTGAACATGCAGTAAAATCTCCTTATTGGGGTGTCCCTGTACAACTCTGCCATAAACGCCCTATGAAATGTTTGCCGCAGGCCTTACAGTACTCGCACTCCTGAAGCATGCTAGATGAAACCCTAAACCACCCCTAAACCTTAAAACCTAAACCCGCTAGATTGTCCGAGTTGTGAGAGTGTAAACCCGCTAGATGCGACCACACCAGGTGCCGTCCCGCCCTGCACCGCAGCCGACAAGCTCGTGGCTGTAGCCACAGCTGAGTTGCGCAAGCAGTGCCTTGACGTGCACAAAACAAAGGGGCCTTAATAGCTTCCTCTACTATTTTGGGTTCGTTATTGTAGTTATAGCATAACATGCCCCAAAACCCTATTCTAATCATTAAGGCCCCTAAATTACATCTTGTTGGAAAGTTGTTTTTTCCTGAAAGGTGCAAAGACTCTTTATGCGAAGATGCGGAGGGCGGCAACATCATCTAGCATACTGCATCATCTTTCAGTGACCCGAACACTTCCCAGTACTAGTGAAAGTCTGCGGTAAGGTTGCTGTCGGGGAATGCCGAGAGCGCCGATCTCCCGCCACAAGTGCTCAGAGACCTCGGATGCCTTCGTCTGTCGGATCAGCGCACGCTCTTGCATGCGGCCGTGGGGCGCAAGGACGCTTCAGTCAGGGCAGTGTCAGGGCCCATGCAACTGTTCCTGCTAGAAACGACACTCAGGCACAATTAAGCTTGCAGGATCTTGAAACCCTAAGCCCTACACCCCTAAACCCTAAGGCGCCTTAAACCCTCCTCCTGAGCCCTAAACCGAAACCCTACAAGCCTTAAAAACCCTAAACAAGATCCGGTGGCAGGACTTGCAGCTGGCACGTGCCGTATTGCGAAGCCAGGGCCACGGCGGCCTTTTCTGCCGGGACTCCTGTGGTCTTGTTTTGGGAGCTTCCAAAAATTGGGGTACCTTATTTTGGGGATCCTTATAATAAGGATCCTACTAATTAGGGTACTATATTCGGGTCCCCTATTTTCGGAAACCCCGATTAAGTTTACCACAGTATAGACCTACATTATTGCCAGAATGGTAGGGTTCTATAGCCAATACAGTGGGGTTCTATAGCTAATACTGTGGTTTCCTTACTATGGTAGCTGAACCAATACAAGAACCCAGGACTGCGAGGGCCGCACGGTTCTGCACCACGCTGCGGCAGGCGGCAATAGCGCATCACTTCTGGAGGGACGCGAGGCCTGTATGATACGGTTACCTTGAACTACCATAACCTACTTTTTTTAGGTCCTTATTATAGACCCTAATACAGCATTTATAGGGACTCTACAAAAAAGTAAGTTTTGGTAGTTTGAGGTAGTTATAATATAGGCAACTAAGATAGGCATTGAGGGCACCCCTGAAGGCGAACATGTCTGGCGCTCTGCAACCACGGGTGAATGCCAGCACCGCCACTGAGTGGGTTCTGTCCCAGATGAAAACCCATGCAACAGACATGGTGTCTGCAACGGACGCAGCGGGGCGCACGGCCGTTTTCGCCGCCGAGGACGCGGCGACCCTGCGGCTCCTAGCAGAGGCGCCTCAATCCCTGGATCTTTTCGCTGCGGACACCGCTGGCCGAAGCTTGGTTTGGTATGCTGCGGCGCTGAATCGGCAAGAGATTCTCTCAGAGCTCCTTTGTGAGCCGGGCGACCTGCTTGAGAATCACACCGAGAGGAACGACACGGTGGCCTTGGAGTTGAAACCACAGAGTCCCAAAGCCAAGAAAGCCTTGGCAGCTGGCTCTCAAGATCCGGGTGCCTCGCCTTTCCTGGCGGCTGCGCGCCGGCATGCAGGGCTGCGGTGCACTGGTCTCGGAAAAGCGACGGACCAAGTCCAGCAGACTCTGGATGTCCTGGCCTATTGCGGAGGCCCAGCCCTGGTATGCCTGGGTACAGCCATACATGCAATGCTCTGAAATACGGTAGGTGTCGTTTGTTCCTGTACACTTAGATGCAAGCACAGTTTCGTATGTTTTTTTGTTCGTGCCGTGTCTGTTTCATTCTGTGTATACACTCAGATACACGCTCTCAAAGACAATGCGTCTCCGTGTTTTGCAGACAATTAAACTCCAATTAGGCAGGTTCAGCTATCTTGGGTTTGCGTGCCTTTGGCAAACAGTCGACCCGCAGGCCAGCGCCCGGAAGAGCTCGACGTGCCCCTCCGCTTCAACCGGTTGAACCCACACAGACCCTTAATCCTTAATCCTTGTAGGACCTCCTTTCTGGATGACCTATCTGATGATTGCGGTCGTTTACCACGAAAATAAGGTAACCACAACTTATCCGCTTCAGTTATTACTCCTCCTGCTGTCGCTGCTGTCGTCGCTACTTGAACAAAAGGTACCGCTGCTTCTTGCTCTTCTTAGTCTGCTTGGCTAACTTTGCTATTGCTGCTGATGCAGTACAGCTTGTACAAGGGTTGTTCGTGATTTTTCTCACATCTGGTTCAGTCGAAGCCAAGGTCTCCATCTCTCGCTCTCTCCCCTTCTCCCGTCTGCTCTGGCCCGTCCGTAGAAACTCCCAAACCTAGGCAGGACACATGGCTGACTGCCAAGCGCCCTTTCAGGCAGGTTGGGCTGGAGCATGATTTCCTGAACATACTGAAGGCTTTGAAATCAGAAAGTCCCACGGTCTGTGCGTTGCATATCGAATACATGCAACATGCATGCATGCATGCATGCATGCATGCATTCGTACAGGCAGGCAGGCAGGCAGACAGACAGAGCATGTGCATCCGTGTGGATCTTGACAATCGAGATAAGCACACAGTCACAAACCCGTGGATGCGCGCACAGAGGGAGATGGGTAATTTTATGCATTTACATACACACGTACATAGGCAACGTTATGATGCAAACATCAAAGTACATACCATAATAAGTTCTACGGCAGCATATTCATGATATAATTAAGTGGCACTGGCTTACGACTCATCGGCCTACTGGTTCGTTAATTTGATGGGTGGATGGCTAGACGTGCAGTTTTCATTAGCATCAGCTTTCAAGATTCACGGTTTTCAGAGATTCCGCGAACCGAAAGCCTTTCTGCGAATTTCGAAACTCCTGCTAACTCTGGAAGCTGTGATTTTGGGGCTGTCCATCAGCAGCGCCGCAGGTCTGTGCTAGGACGACGGTTTAGAGAGGCTTATTTCCTTCACTATGACCACAAGGCAGAAAGACTCCAACGAGCAATCAACATGAAGGGGTGGACGGATAGACAAACTGATGACTCAACGAAAAGAGGGTTGTACAGAACATGTTTAAGCGCACGTGACAGAAATGGAAGCTTCAACATGCGCAAGGCCATGTTTCAGCAAAGCAGAAAAACTGCTGCTACTACGCACGACGCAAAGCAGTTCGTATGGACCGTGTCGCCGGTGTCAGTCGCTGTTTCGTTCAGTCAACAATCAGGCTTAGGCTTCAGCTTTATCTGTCAGATCTTTCATGCAGTGCCTGTTTCGCCACGCAGGTGAAGCGCGCCTGGATCGCTCCGTGAAGGTCGCAGAAAAGCCTGTGTGCAACAGTAGTCATCTCATCACAACCGGACAAGTCATACCCGTAGCAGTAATTGGGAATGGTGCCTATGTTAAGTAATATTTATTAATTTGCAAAATGCAAAGATGCGCTTGGGCTGACCGCCAGGGGCTCTGAGAAGCGCGCCGGCAATGTCGAAATTTGCCTGAACCCCTGAACCGCATAAACCCCAAAATCCGAACTCCCTCACCCCCTATAATCAGATAAGATAAGAATGCAATTCTGATGCCACGACGACGCTCCGTCCGAGCAGCATGCCTGTACGATGGTTCGAGGTCTTAGCACAGCATCTTCAAACGACTTAGCAGCAGACAGATCTTAGCATTGCATGGGCGGCAAGCAACCAAGAAGCAGGTAGTTAGGCAGAAAAGGCATGGATCTGTAAACTATACCAAGTATTCGTTGAAAGCGCCGAGGATTTATCATCATTATCGGTAGACTACCGGTAGGATCCTTGATGTTGTTCGTAACGCTCAGAATCCATTATCGATATCCGTATGAGTACGACGACGGTGCTAACTGTAGGGCTCGGCTTCGATCAGGCGCGTTGCTATACCCTATAAACCCTAAACCTTAAAACCCTAAACCCTAAACAAGAACTGCTTTCCATCTCCAAACGAGAAGACACGGCGCGCCGGCCCTGGGACTCAGATCCATATGGGTAGTTCTCTAATTAGGGTCCCTTTTTTGGATCCCCACTATAGTACGGCAGCCTTATAAGAAGGACCCTAAAAGGGACCCTAATTTAGAGAAGTACCCATATACTTTACGTAAAAGAACCGATACCCGACTTGCCGCTTTTCTGCCGCCCCACCGTCCTCATGTCCTGTTGCTTCGCGGACGAATGGAGGAACGAGTCTGCCGCGCCGCTACGTCCTCGTTGGCAGAGCTTTTGTCAACTTGCGAGCTTAAACGGAATTGTAGTCTATCTGCAATTATAGAGCCAGGCAAGGGTAATATTGATAGATATTGATAGTATATGGTTTAGGGTGCCAGATGCAGATAGAAATTGTGGAAGAAATCTGCGATCCCGTAGGGATACCATTGCTACTGCAGTAGCTGCAGTCATCAAAAACTACAACCATGACTCATGACAACAATTTTGATCAGAATCGTGATAGCCATAGTACTCTCTCTCTATATATATATATATATATTCACATACACAGCTATGTATAGTACCGAAGCAGGATGGATCGTCTGCTTAAGATGAATACTAATCACATAGCATCTGTAAGAGGTAGTCATATGATGACTTGGAGTATCAGTCAATAGCAAGAATAACGAACACTAAAATTAATGCTCATACTACTACCTAGCAGCAAGAACGCAAGGTAGCCATATAAATGCATACAGTCTATAGCAGAAAATTCATACCGTACCAATGACCACAGACAGCCACCGAGAGCTATTTGAATGCTAATCTTAGTATCTCATATAGAACCAAGACCCTCAACCCTAAACCCTAAACCCCTGCATTTGTCCGAGTGCGAGAGCCGAAACCCCTAAGAAGAAACGGTCGTCAATGTCCCTAAACCCTAAACCCTAAAGCCTAAACCCTAAACCCTAAACCCCTAAAGCCCTAAGCCCTAAACCCCTAAAGCCTAAACCCTGAACCCTAAACCCGAAAACGTTCCGACCTTCCGGGTTGGGTCAGGTTTGCCAGGCGGCGGAGCCGGCCGACGAGCTCCTGGAGCCCTGCCGGTGCTCCGGGGGCCTTATGGGTTCAGGGCTTTAGGAGTTTATATGGGTTCAGGGCTTTAGGAGTTTATATGGGTTCAGGGCTTTAGGGGTTTATATGGGTTCAGGGCTTTAGGGATTTAGGGTTTAGGGGTTTTCTCTCCTTTCAGGGGTACCCGGCAGTTGCAATAGGCCTGGATGCAGGGTTTAGGGGTTTTAGGGTTCAGTGTTGAGCGTTCAGGGTTTAGGGTTTGGGGCTTTTGACCTTTCCACATGCTGAGCTTATTAGCGCGCAAATAGTGAACACGAGCGGTCCAGTGTCTTAGGGGGTTGGGGTATACAGGGTTTGGGTGTCATAGCAAATATACTGTTCCTTGAAGGGCTTCGTGTAAGGGTTCCTATTAAACTGAGGGTTCTGGGCTTTTCATCAGTCTTTGGGATCGGGGTTTGGGGTTTTCGGATTTGGGGTTTGTGGGTCAAGCTGGGTAGTAAGGGCAGCGGTCGAGTCCCCTGTGAAAAAAGGGGAATCAGGGTTTTTGTTCGGCCTTTTAGGGCTCAAGGGCTCCATCTGGGTCTCCCATTGGTTCGGGGAGGGTTTGGGGAATTGCCTTTGGTTGTTAAAGATCTTGTTGGTCCAAGCTGCTTCTGGTTAGGGGTTCACAGAGGGTCTTGCTTCAGGTCTTTGGGAGTTTGAATGTAGGATCTTTACGGCCTGGGTTTGAGGCGATTGGTTTAGGGTTCAGGGAATATGGAGATGTTTGGCTCAGAAGGTTTCTAGGAGTTTAGGGCGCTTTCATTTTTGTATGGGGTGTGGGGCGTCTGCCTACGGGTTGTTGAGGAGGAGGTGCCAGGGTTAGGGTTAAGTGATTAAATTCCGGCTTGTAGGGTTGGTGGAAGGCTAGCCAACATGAGGCTGTGTAATCAAACGAGGTCAGAGTGGCGGCACAATGGACATGCCGAGTCTACACAGTGCATCAACATCTGCCCGTATCATGACTCCCCCTAAGCCTCGCTGAAAGCATGAAGGTGTTCTGGATCCGTTCGATGGATTCATCGGAGCTGCCTGAACAATTGGCGGCGCCACTGCTGGGCGTCGTCACCATCTGGCGCACTTCAATGCGAGCTTTGTGGCTCCCTATATGTCTACGAGTTCTGCCGACTTGCCCCGTGCCGTGCCGCCTACATGATAATGACAGAAGCTGCGGTGTGCTGCCTGCCGATCTTTCTCATTTTCCTGGCAATCGCAGCAGCGACCTCAGTCGTGCATCAACCAGCAAGACACGTTCCCCTTCGTGAGTTTCAGTGCCGGATTGTTGCCGAAAGATGTCGGGACAAGGGGTTAACGGCACAAAGTGTCGCCGGCGCGCTCTTTCCTGCAAAGTGCCTTCTGCAAGGCCGCTGTGGACCTTGTGGTGGGCCTCGTCACTTCGATGGGCCTACTGGCATCTTGAATGAAGATGGGCTTAGGGCTGGGCTCTGGGGGTGATGGCAATGAGTTCTGGCTTCTGTCGCAGGCTATGCTGCTGTGCAAAGGAACGCCGTGAAGTCTCAAAGCCGATTAGTATAGGGGCCTTGGTTTAATTCTTACTAATACTATCTTAGGGGTTCCTTATTACTCTTATCATTCTTTATTCCAGTTTTAGTGCTATGGACCCCAAAGCCCTATTCTGATGATTAAGGCCCCTACATGAAAAGCCCCCTAAACCCTAAACCCTAAACCCTAAACCCAGCCCTTCAGTCCGAAGCTCTCTGCGAGGGCCTCCTCGCTTGTGGAGATCTCGTGGCTGCTCTCAGCGGCTGGGGGCTCCTTTACTCCGCCGTCCTTGGGCTCCGGGGCCAGGACTGCCGATGCGGCTTTAAGGCTGGAGGCGTGTAGCGTGGATTGGCCTTCAGGATTTCAGAGTGTTGATGGGTTTGTGGTTGAGGGCCCTAATGCAATAGTCTGGACGTGCTGCTTGCCAGCTGATTGGCAAGTTCTGTGTTCGAAAGAGGGCTTAGGGCCCCTAGGGTTTGCATTATCGATTTTGGTCTACGCGGGCGTCGTTGTGGAGTTTCGGATGTCAGGTTATCTTGTGGGCGTTGGGTGGCACTAGGCTCTTGGAGTTTGTGAAGGGCTCGGGCTCAAGGTGCGAGAGATAGTTCGAATCATCAGCAAGAGCGTGTCCCTTTAACTTTAGGGTCCGTGATGAAGATGATAGGCCACAGGAGAGGAGAGAGGGAGGGCGAGAGAGTGCACCCACATAGCACCCCGCAGCCCCTGTTCTGATTGCGAGCCCTTAGTAGCATTCAGATGAAGGATCCCAGGGCCCACATCGAGGCTCAGGGTGCCTATCACCTCAATCACTGTAAGTATCACCTTTTTAGAGGCAGTTCAGGTGTTGTGGCCCAGGTCATAGTTAAGCTACGAAGTTGTAGCCGGTTATGGCTACAGCGAAATGTCGCTTTCTGGATCCTGAAACCCACTCCGAACAGGATATCCAAGAAGACTTACACCTACAGCCCAAAGCCCCTAAAGCTCCTACACAAAGCCTCAGCCCGTATACCCGCAAACCAGCCTTCATAAACCCCAAAGCAAAACCCCTGCGCCTAATGTAGGGGCCGAAGTATACTATTTTGGGGGTTCCTTGTTATAAGTATGGTACCATGGGCCCCAAAACCCGACTCCAATTATTAAGGCCCCTATATTAGGAGCATCATCGCTTCCCCGGATTCTGGCCGCCGGGTTTGTCGAAGATGGAGCGGCTCCCAGGGAGCCCCCTTGGCTCGTTTTGGGGCTTTAGGGTTTAGGGGTTAGGGGTTTAGGGTTTAGGGGTTTAGGGGTTTAGGGGTTTAGGGTGCAAAAAGGGTTTAGGGGTTTAGGAGTTTAGGGTTTAGGGGTTTAGGGTTTAGGGGTTTAGGGTTAAGGGGTTTAGGGTTGAGGGGTTTAGGGTTTAGGGTTTAGTAAGGGTTTAGGATTTAGGGTTTAGGGCTTCGGCTCTGAGCTTCTTGCAGGGGGTGTAGGGCTCAGGCCCGGCGAGATGGTTCTGGGGCTTGGAGATGGGTATAGAGCTTGGTTTTCATAGAGATGGGTGTAGGTCCAGGGTCTTGGTGCAGATGTTAGTGCTGTTGAGGGCTTGTAGGTTTCAGGTCTAGGGCTTGTAGGGCCGGGTTAGGGCGTCAATGACAGTTTACACCAATAGGCACAATAGCAACCGCAAAGCCAACTGCACAGATGCATGCACTCATTGCTTGTCAGAGTAGCACTTAGACAACGAACATCTGGTCAAGGAGTCAAGGAAGCTTCCGGTTTCAGCCCTGGTTTGAGGCTGTGACTGTTTTTGAAGCAGGGGTGGTGAGTGGATTGCACTTGTAATCCGCACTTTTTTCTGAGTTTAAACTGGCTTGCTTCCTGACCCAGCTGTGTTTCTTCAGGTGCCATCCTACCTCTCTTAATGAATTCATCACAGAATCGGAAAACCCTCACATTTACCGTCCGTTTGATGGAGATTTCCTCTCAGGCCGATGGCTTCTCTATCTTGTGCCGGTGATCCTCACCCAGCCAAGAAGATCTTTTTGTGTTGTTGCAAACGGTTCAGGGCCTACGAGGGTATTGTTGTGATATGCTGAAGCGGCCGACACCGACATGAATGGCAACTCTTGCTTGTGCAGTAGGGTCGAAGAGCCCGTTCCACCCTTACTGTCTTGATGTAGACAGATGTCCTTAAAACTGAAACCCGAATGCCGTCTAGTTGGACCAGTTGTTGAATCCTTGCCTGCCTTGGCTGAGAGTAAGAGTGGACTCCCGAAGCAATCAAAGCCCTAGATCCCGAAGACGGTACTCATTCAAGCCGATTCGATCCTGGCGGAGGATCATGCCAAACCTGATGACTTGGATGTTATTCGCCGTCCGAGATTGGCTAGGACAAGACAGCTTCGAGGAGCTCGGCGTCCCGGCCGAACGGTCTATTCATTGTCAGATGTTTTTCTCTTAAAGCTTTTTGGCTAAAGCCCAAAGCCCCCAAAACCCCTGTTTGGAGGTTTGGGTAGGCTTGAGCCAAGTGGGAAAAGGTCTTTCGACAGACTGCAGACTAGCTGAGAAGTTTGACCTTTGACCCAAAACCCAAAACCCTGATGATGGAGGTCTGATGTTGGCAAAGTTGGGGAGCTGGTACCTGATGTTGCTTGTGTCTCTGCGGGTGGCTGGCGCATGGCTCAAGCCTCCACTGGTGGTCGTCAGAGTGCCTCGGGCCTATTCAGCGATGCAGGTGGACAGGGCACTGAGTTGCAGCTTCCACACCCCAAGCCACAGCTGCGTTAACTCGGCGCACGCACGCGTTCGGAGAGGAAGGAGGTAGGATGACCCGACTGATACTCCCATCTCACAGCAGTTGGAGATGTTTCGCTTCGTGGCATCCACGTCCTAGCCGACTTGCCTAAAACTTCAGTGCCAGCCTTATAGTTCTGCTGGTGGCAAACGGTCCCGAGACTCCTGTTCAAAACCCTGACAAGACTATCAGCCCTCGAGTCCAGCGGTTGGAGGAATTCGGCTTCAGCTTGCCTCGCAAAACACTGAGGATTCGGAAGGATGGCCCATGCTGCGCAGCTTGACGCCACAGGAGCGAGGCAAGTAGAAGTGCTGCCAGTTTTTCGCCGCTGCCCAAGCAGAGAATCCCAAACGTTAAAGTAGCTGATAGATAGTACACGCATGATGCAACATGCAAGTGCACACAAGTTATTACGGTTACCCCCCCACTGGCATGCTGTTTGGTTTGATGTGGTGACTGAGCTTTGCCAGCAGACCTGCCTACCATTCTGCGGTGCAAAAAGGCGCTTTCGTTCGCCAGCATGCTTAGGCTAACCTTGCAGCGGAAATCATGAAAGGGACGGAGAGCTTACTGCGGCTTCGAGCCTCTCAAAAGTGCATAAGTCATTTTTGTTGTGGGCACGATGGCGGTGGTGGTGGGGGTTGCTCTTCCTTCTCATGGTTCCTCTGTGCCAGTGTGGCTGTCTGTGTGCTTCGGTTCGAGGTCTGGGAGCAGCTGTTGGAAGCGCAACAGATGTGGCCTCAGCAGTTGAGCTGTAGTTGTCACATAGAGCTCAGGGAAAGTACTCGTAGGGCTTCTTCGGAATCCCGCACTTGACATCTGAATCGCACTCCGACGTATCTTCCGGCACTGTGGTTGTGACCTTCACACACCCCAGCCAGCCTGCTCCCTAACTCTGTTCAAGTCATGGCTCGCGTGCGGTTCGCTCTCATCCAGGCGTCGAGCTGTTAGGCTTAGGATTGTGATTGTTCGAAGTATTCGGAACTTCCGTTTGGGCCTTCCGGTCTGCAGTCCCGTCCTCCCCGCCCTCACATGACATCATTATTCATGCTCATGAGGCAGGTTTCTTGGACCCAAATCGTTTCGAGGATGCACCTTGCCTGCCACAGAATCATTTCATGCTGTGTCCCTTGTGACGCCTGCTGTCACCGCTAGCACTGGAACAGAGACTTGCATCGACAAGCCTTTCCTAGTCCAAGGCAGTCGCACAGCAGCCCCTTCAAAAGCCAAAGGCCTGCAGCTCAGATGTTCTGGCGGTGTCTCGATGTGCATTGTGGGTTTCTCCCGCCATCCGGAGGCGTGGCGGACCTCGCCGTTGCCCAGTCGTGGGGCGTGGAGCTCAAATGCCGGCCGGTGCTGTGAAGCATCCTGCCCAGTTCGGACCTACCTTCAGCTTCTGGCACCCTCAAGTTAGCTTCGGACACCGAAGGTGGTATTTTCAGGACACCAGCACCGCGTCGTAGAATGCTTGTCGCTTTAATGCATGCGCCCACCAATATGACAGTATGTGTATAAAGTATACATGTTTGTATATATATATATATATGACATAGGTACATGGAAGCTGTAAGCGGCTATCGAGACATGTTCGCGCGCGCGCGCGCGAGACGCTCTTATGCCGGAGGCGGGTCCCTACAAGCTACGTGTACAGCTGCAGCCCCGGAGTCGGATTGTTCTTGATTTCAATTACTGGTTCTGGCATTGGAATTGCACAGCAATCAGGCCGAGCTGCCACTTTGTCTCAGTCCTGTTCGCAGCTGTGTTGCCTGGTGCTTGAGCTTTTCAGTTCAAGCCATTCCTGCCCAAAGAACTCCAGCCGCAGTCACGAGAGGCATGAGTCAGACTTGATGCATCGCACAACAAGACCTTTTTGCAGCCTCAGCCGATAAACGCCAGCTGGACTGAACCTTGGTAACATTAGGACCGAAACAGGCTGTGAGCCATGGAGACGAAGCTAACGTCCTTCCTGCACAGAGCAGAGTGGGCGTTGCTGTCGTTGGAGCCTGGTAGCGTGGCCCCAAAAGTAGATCCCGACCTCAGCGGGCCCGAAGGGTTGGATTGCACGGCCTTGCAGAAGCTCTTGGAGCCGACCCGTGGAGGTGAGCTGGTGACCGTGCCTGGGCTTTGGTCCAGGAGTTTAGTCTGGGAGTTGTCGTCACACGTCACAGGGATTTCGAGCAGATCATTTGTTATAATATGTTACACTTTCCTTCTCATGGCAGCTCAAACCAAGTTCCCCATCATGACAACCTAGATTCCCCAGCAATGATACGTCTTCCTCATCCTGGCAACTCAAACCAAGCTGCTTCACAAGAGCCCAGGTGCTGTCGGATCCATGGCTGGAGGAGCTCTCGAAAGTTCTCTCGCGCCAGGCGGTCGATGCAGCCCTGGCTGCCGGCGGACTGCACCGTCTCGTTCTGGATTCTGGGCTCTTGCTAAGGGACAAGGAAAACATCTTTCTTACACGCGACCTCCAGTACTTCTCCTCCTCCTCCTGTTGCTACTGCTGCTGCTGCTACTGACTGCTGCCACAACTACTCTACTTCTACCACCACCACCAGCACCACCACCACCACCACCACCACCACCACCACCACCACCACCACCACCACTGCTACTACTGACAGCTACTAGTTTGACGGTGATGATGATGATGACTTTTGGTGACTACGATTGTGTTTCTGGCTGTTGCCATCATCAATGTCAAAATGAATCAATGTACTTACAGCAAGAGCCCAGGATCTGACCTCGGCCAGCATGTCTTTCTTGGATGCTCCCTCCGGCAGCAGACCGGTCCGCGAGCGAGCTTTGTACATGCTCGGGGTCGTGTTTCTTCAGCACTACATGCGGGCGAACTGCACCGGCCCGGCCAAGGATCAGGATGATGCCTGCCTTCCTTTCCACCCTTCCGCTTCTGTAGAGGAAGGTATCCCAAGTGCTATCCTAGGCGCCTTGGAGGCAGACGGAGAGCCGTCCTACGAGTTGCTGGTTTGTCCTGGGTACCTTTGGCTGTCGGCCCTGATGTTCCGACTGGTGCCGAGTGAGATGCCGAAGTTCGACGGCGTGGCCCTGCCCTTCTGGCGTGCTCGCTGTGCTTTTGCCTGGCAGCTCAGTTTGGCAGAGGCCTCTGAAAGAGGCTGTGGCCAGAGCCCATCACTCTTCCGGGCCTCTGTGTACGAGCTGGTATCCGGAGAAGCTTCGCCGCTCTCGACCAAGGGCTTCCTGGAAGCTTCCGCACTCTCAGCCATTCAAGCCGCCACGGCCCCACTCCTGGATACTTGGAAGCGGTCCACCGAACGGCCACCGGCAGTTACCCCGGCCGTGACCCTGCCAAAAGCCCAGGAGACCGAGGAGACCGAGGTGGAGGGTAGTGATGCCTTGGAGGCCCTCCTCGATGTCTTTGAGCCCCCGGCACGAGCCCCAACCTCCGCGGTTGAAGTGCCAGCCGCCGTTCGGGCCACGGTCCTCGTCGAGTTGGCGAATCGCCTTTGCTGGTACAGCCGCCTGAAGATCTGGGAGAAGAGCAGCGATGCAGCCTGCAAGGCGATAGGCTTCCACTACGAGCTTACTGGTGTGATGGGTATTAAGAGAGAGTTCCAGACGACCGAGTTTGCACAACTGGTTGTCCGAGCGAAAAGTCAGGCGGCCGGCAAAGGCATCGAAGTAGAAGAGTCTGATGCCAAGAAACCTGAGACACTAAGCTTGAAAACAGTGGACGACATGACGGACGTGCTTGAGGTCCCAAAGCTTTCCAAGTCTGTTGACGAGGAGGTGCGGCTTGAGATCGAAAGGCCCTTAACCGTCACTGAACAGATTATTCTTCTGTCCCGGTGTCAATACATCTGGGCATCTAGCAATCCCAACGACGAGATGGTGCTGCAAGAGATCAACGCTTTAGCACAGCGCGTTGTCAAGACGCAAGACAAGGCAAGGGAGGAGGAGGCAAACGAAGGGCCCTTATTTACCGCAAACTGGCTAACCTTCAGCTGTGGTCTTTGGTACCGCTGCCGAGCCGAGCATCACCGAAATAAGACTCGCGAGCGCGCGGCATTCCAACTGCAGTCCTTGGTCGATCAGTTTGCAGACGAGCGTCCCTCTGCCGCCCATCGACTGCGCACGGTCCACAGCGCCGGGTACCCGGCCCGACTCTAATCTGATGAAGTAGCGGGTATCGTCCCTCATGGATTTTGGTTTGGCCCAACATGACCTGCCTAGTATATAGCTGATCCATCCTATGTCCGAATCTGCAGAGCTGCATTGAAGAAGATACCGTAGCAGGTAAGGAGCGACAAATCGGTGATTCTCGCAATCACCACTAACATCCCCAACACCAGTAAGAAAATAGGCGCTCTACTACTCCACAGCGCCCGCCTTGTGCGATTGCACGAGTCGAAATCCTAAACCCGAAAAAAAAAGCCCTATATAGCCTTGCCCCATAAACCTAGGATTCCACCTCCAGCACGAAATGGCCACGCGCATGATGCGCATGGGGATGATGAGCACTGCCCACGAGCAGCGACTCGTTACAATATTAAAGTACGGTATCATACAGTAGTTATCGGGTTGTAGGATTATATGTATAGTATTTATAGTATGTGCCAATTTATGGAAGCAATACAGTTTTCTTGACTTGGGCTCTTGGAATGCCCTGGTTTGGTTTTTCTTCTGGTTTACGAGGCTTCACAGGATGTGATCAGGCACTTGCCCTGATCGGGCTGTAGGTCCTTTTCGCGGATGGTTTCTATTCAAACACCAACTAGCAGGAAAATGCCAGAAGAAGCAACAGAAGAGGTCCGGCCACCGGAAAGCCCTAGGAAAAGACCCTTATAAGCTCTAAGCCCTGAACCATGCGAGCAGCCAAGGTTCAAGAAGCTGAGGATGTGGCCCGAGGCCGTAGAGTGCCTCATCTGTGCCGAGCGCAATGTGGAGGCTGAGGACATGGTGAAGGCCAGACACTGAATGAAGGGGCAGGCGTTACTTAATATTTATGTTTATTATGAGAGCTGGCAGAATATATTACAATTATAAGACTACTGTTCTAATTGCTACGGCCCCTGTTGGAGCTGGTACCTGCTTTTCAAGGGTTTAGGATTCAGGAATATTTCGGATTTGGGGCGCGCATGAGGCAGCCCCTCCTCAAAAAAAGGGTGTGCTTCAGGGCGAAAGAGATTTAGTAGCTGGGCTAGAATGGGGGTTATCAAAGCCGCACTCGGGGTGATTTTGATTGTTGTGCTTCCAGCCTACTTACTATAGTCTCCTGAACCGCAAAGTAGACCGTGACCGACGAATCGCCTTAAAAGAATTGCTGACGTGGGTCCTTCGATTGAGGGGTCCCTGTTCAGGGCTGTTTGTAATCACGAGTCTAGTACTTGTGCGGATTCTTGTGGACCCCAAATTTCCTGAAACTCCCAGAATCTGTATATACACACACATATATATATATATGTATATATATATATATGTGCATAGAGCCCGCATAACTAGTCATACTGTAGCATTCCTTGGGGTCCCTTGCTGTCGAAGAGACGTGCATTGAGGCTATGGATAGCCATGCAAAATGCACGACACCCGGAAACCGCAGGGCAGGGCAGCTCAATATAGACCTCTGATTACTGAGCCTTTGTGTAAAATATGATCCCTTGATCATCCTTATTAACAGAGGGGGGGGGTTTATAGTTTCTGGGTCTGGTCCTGCACCCTTCGCCAGGACCTCATCGAAAAGCAGCCGTCGCCCCGGCTGTGGTGCTGCCTTGGCGATATCGTCAAGGACCCTGCTCACTACGAGAAGGCTTCCGGTGTACTGTGCATTTGTGCGGAGGGTATAGCTTTATTGCGCGGCGTCTTGGTCTAGGTTGCAGTCTTCAGGTAGGATCTAGGAGTCCATGGCTGCAGCACACGCGGCCCCAAGTTGGACGCGACTCCCCAAACACATCAGCGCAGGAGTGCCCGATCGTCTGAAGGGTAGTTAGGTTCCATCAGACCCAAACCCCGACGCCTAACCTCTAAATCAAAAAAGTCCTTAAAGCCCAAAGTCCGAATCCGCAACGCAACCAACGGATACGAAAGCCCTGAACTGTTAGTAAAACCCCCCTCGCCTTGCCTCCTGTGTGCAAGTCGTGAGAGGCGGAACCCTAACTTCCACCCCTTAAAAGCCCCAAAACCTGCTCCTGGCGGTCAGGTTTAGGGTTTCGGGCTTAGGGACCCTAACCGCCAACCCCCAAAGCTCCAAAACAGGCATGGGAGCTTTCCAATCGACGCTTCGCGAGAGCCCAGCGGGCTCTTGGTAAGTACTACTTCGACAGGATGCTGGGCCAAGGCTTAGGCCATTTAGTTTTTACAAGTTTTTGCCACGCCAAAGGGGCTAACTCAGGCGACCGGGCGACTTAGCCAACAGGCCAGGCGTATGTAGAGCTTTCTATCAGAACAGTCCCGCCTAGGATACCATCGGTCGCCCTGCAGGCAAGGCCAAATCAGAAGAATTAGGCACCTATTCACACCAGAAGTCACCGTAATGATATGGGGTTAAAATGTGAGCGATACTGTTATATCAAGATCCTCAATATAAGCATAGACTAAGCATCGTATACCCCGAAAGCCTGCTGTAATTGCTCAGGCCGCTGTTTTTTGGTGGAGGACTTGAGTGAAGTCCTCGTTGAGCGAACGCACCAGTGGTATGAGTAAAGGCACTGAAGAGACATAGATATGGGTAGCTGTACGCACGCATATATGCGTAGACAGACGGACGGACGTAGGTACTTTTGTGTATGTGTGTATGTGATGTGAAGCAATGTGCCTTCCAGGGTTCTGCCAAATTCACAACATCTGCAGCAGCACTTGCGAACATCTGCATGTGCTTGCTTGAAGGCTTTCCCGGCACTTTACAGTGAGCACTGAGCCTGAAGCGACAAAGCCCTGCACCCTTAGCCGTCAGCACCCCTCTAGTATGCAAGTACCCTTATAGAGGCAGGGTACCTCAAGGACCCCTAAATCTCAAATTTAAATCTGAAAACTGAGCAAAACACAACCCAGGAAGCAACTGGACAAAGCGGTGGAGTCCTTCAAGCTGGCTCTCGACATCAACCCCATGTTCGAGGGCATCTGGTTCACTCTAGGCCCACTTCAGGGATTCGGCTCCCCCTGAAACTGAAGAAGTTGGGGTTGGGCATGCCAGCATCTGACCCGTGCTTCCGTTTTTTGTTGGCAAACATGAGCCAAAGAAAAACTTCGAGCCCGGTCCGCAGCCAAAGCTCCTGTTCTCTCGGTTTCGGTCCTGTTTGCCAGCAGACCTTAGCCAGATGACACCCTGGGCCCGAACCGCAAGCTGTCACACTGAAACCTTAAAGCCAAGGCTTGCAGCTGGTAGTGGTGGTGCCCAGTTCATGCTTAGGGGCAGCCCAAGCCCGTTGCAAGAAGCGCTACTTGAAGCTATGTGACAATATTGTATAGAAATCTCTATATATATATATACATGTTTGTACAAGGAAGGTAGGTACACTCACAGTGTTCGTACGATCTGTCCAGCATCCGAAGCAGACTCACCCTCTGGGCTGCTATGTGTGCTATGCAAGGAGTCGACGAGATCAAGCATATGGACTGCAGTAGTTTCAAGCTGTTTCCGTTTGTAAGTTCAATGTACAGGTTGCAGCCATATCAGCTTGAGTCGTTAACGTCGGTAAAATCACCTGATTACATAGGGAGCGAAGACTGTTCATAGCAAGAGACCGTAGCTTTTGCAAAACTGCAGAACTTGACTCGTTCGAGCCGGCAGGTGTCGGCCTGATGCAGTTGGAGAGGATGGAGGAGGCCATGATCGCCTTCTCCCGCGTACTTTCCATCAACGACGAGGACCTTGACAACATACCTCCGTACTTACTCATAGTGAGAGCCACAGGTGTCAAGTCGTTCCCCAGCTAAGTTGTCTGCCATGCGCTCCCATCGCGCATGGAAGATCTGCATCATCATTTTAAGACGAGCGGCATGATAATGAGACGTCGTTGCTTAGCAAGTCGTAGGCGGTGAAGAAGTAGCACAGACGCATGAGCCATCATGGGCCTTTCTCCCAACCATCCAAAACCACATGCAGTACTCAAAGAATCCAGGCCTCTTTTCTCAAATGGACAAGGAAATCGAAGGTTGGAAGCATCGAAACACACGAGAAATTGGACACCGCCCATGCCCATACTGTCCCATACTTGTTTACATGCTGACCTCCTGTCTTGCAAATACGAATACGCATACATCTGCACGTCACTGGTTCTGGGCTCGCTTGTTTGAGTCTACACTTTCTCCTGAATGAATGCGGTACAAACCTGCGTGCTGACACCATGGCATGATGGCGCGCTTGGAACCTTCAGGCCTGAAGAGGGATGTTGTAGTGTTCCCGACCGGCCTGGGTCAGAATCTCACGTACAGGCCGAGCTTTGATAACTCCTGCCCTGTAGCGTGAGAGACCCGAACGCCGAATCTTTGGAGGACGGCCAGGCGTGGGCGAACCTTGCTGCCGTGCACCTGCACCAAGACCGCGTGAAGGACCTCATCAAACCTGTTTTGGACTGTGGGGTCCAGACGGTTTTAGCATAGAGTGACCCACGAAGACGCAACAACAACAAGAAGAAGGATGCTTCAGATGTGCTGAAGCTGCTCCCGGTAATCGTATGCAAGGTGTCGGTGTCAAGGGACTTGTGCAGGCGAACGTCCTAAGCCGTCGGTCTAGTGTCGAGTTCTGGTTCAACACCTGGCTATAGGCAGCTTGCTGATCCGCGTAAACATGCCGTGTTTCTACAGCCTTGTCCTTGCTGCTGGGGCGGTGAAGGCAGCTGCTGCGACGGCGTCGGCAACGACGGCCGCGACATGCCTTACTGCCCGTTCCTACGGCTCGGCGGAACAGCGAGGGGAGCCCTTCGCCAGGAACGTTAAGGACGCGGAGACCTGCCAGTCATCCTGTGCGACCTCAAACAATTGCAGCTACTTCACCTACGACACAAGCACAGCAGACTGCTGGCTGCTGGAGCAGGTTATCTTCTTGCAGATCGAAGAGAGCGCCATCTCGGGTACCGTGGACTGCATTCTTCAACGGCACGATGAAGATACGAGGAGTGAGCATGTCATGGGCAGGCTGAACAGAGTGGCCGATTTTGTCTACGATCGGACGACGGATGACCAGATGCAAAAGGATGCTAAGCATGTCAAGTGGTCCTGTGAGAACGGCTTCCTAGAAGAGGAAAGTTATGGTAGTGTAAGACGTGTGATGATGGAGCTCTCAAACCTCGTCTCCACAACGGCTGGGCTCGGGGAAGCTGCAGAGCACGGGGCGATCCTTACGACGGATGATGTCCACTGGCTCACGAGTCACATGAAAAATGAGGATGTTAAGAGCCTGCACCTGCATCACCTGTCGGACTACGAAGATGCAGAGATAGGTGCGTCCAACAGTGCTTGCGAGAACGCGGAAATTGGCTGTGACGAAGGCGGAAGCTTTGGGGCGGGCACACCGTGGACGAATGCCATTGTGAAGTTTTGCTTTGACATCCACATTGCCCCAAGTGCACGGGAAGCCTTGATATGTGCCATGCAGAAGGTCTCCAGTCATCTACCTGGCATCGTGTTCCAGAATGTGCAATACACCGGGGTCGACACATGTGGTCAGTCGCCGGCCATCTTCATGCAGTCAAACGGCCGCCGCAGCGGCAGGGGCTGCTGGGCAGACATCGGCATGTCGACTTCCTTGTTCGGAGGGAATCAGAAGTTGAACATACAAACTCCTGGCTGTGACAATTGCGGCACGGCAATCCATGAGCTCCTCCATGGCCTCGGAATGGCACACGAGCAGGCAAGATCGGATCGGGACCAATATGTCAGCATCCTATGGAACAACATCAAGCCCGGAATGGATAATCAGTTTACCAAGAACGCAAAAGCGGATACTAACCGCCCGTATGACCTCATGTCCATCATGCACTACGGCTCCCGATCGTTTTCGAAGAACGGCCGGGAAACCATGATAGTGAAGCCTGCAGCCTACCACGGCCACACAACAGACTTCCGGATTGGTCAGCGCGTGGGAATGAGCACACCAGATGTGGACCAACTCTCGGACTTGTACGGATGCGACGATCCGTACCGCTGCAATCCCGTGAGCAGTGGTGGCAACTTCCTCGCCGACGTGTTTTCTCCCGCGGGAATGTCCTCCGGTTCAGGTCTCTAGGTACGCCACTGGGAAGTCTCTGTTTTCCCTGATTGGGTGAAGAAGATCTTTTGTTTGCTACTGTTTTTTCGGAGGCTTTGGAGTGCCAACCTAGGTTTGATCATTGTGATCGTGGTGGCCTTGGTGCTCCTCCTCGGCGGGGGCGTGGTTTTCTTTTGCTTCTGCGGTAGCAGTCGTCAGGCCAAGGCAGTGAGACCGTATCAGAGAATGGGACCATGAGGCTCCGTTGGTTTCAACCGCGCAAAGCGGCTTAATTAAACATTGAAGTTGACATAACCGTCGACTAAGGCTACAGTAACACCAGCCGACTACAAGTCGGCGATGTCTTGGATGTTGCACATGGTATGCAGTGGTCGCACAAAGCAATCACTGATTCGCGAGCTCGTCTGTGAAAATTCCTGGGCCGGACTCGCATTGCTGTGTCATGCCAAGCGCTGTCCCCTGTATTATAGAGGTGGTGTAGTTCATCCTTTGCGAATTCAGTCGATGCCGCATGTGCTTAACTGCACTTATGGCTAGGAACCGCTTGCGACGCAGGTTTGAAGTATGCTGCGACAAGCCTTTGTTTCACCAAGATTGGACAAGCACGCATCAAATGCGCGCATACGTACGTGCAGCTACATGAAATTTCATAGTTATGATAGGAAGAAGAATCAGATGAATAAGAATTACAAAAGAAGAACTATGAGAATAACGAAAGTTCATATTCATGTTAGCAATGGAAATAGTAATGATGATAGTGCTGGAGGTACTAGCACTCGCACAAGCAATAGTTAGTAGTACTTGTAATAGAAAAAGAACGGGAGTCATATTAACTATCAACTAGAAGAAGCAACAAATAGCATTACATTACATAGCACGGTAATAGCACGTGCTTGTTGGCCTGCGCTTTCTTGGTGAATCTTTCTATGTGGCCTGGTGGCTGTTTGTCCTTGATTCACGAACCCTGAACTCTTGGCTTTTCTGAAGTCCCCAAACCCTAAAACCGAAGAGGGCAGAAGGCCTAGGGTTAAGGGTCCAAGAATCATTTAGGGTTTAGGGGTTCAGGGTTCAGGGGTTTTTGGTTTAATTTATGGTATAGGGCTGAGGGTTCAGGTTAAAACAGAGGCCTAGGTTTATGGGGCTGTGGCTTCAGGGGGTGGTGGTTTGGCGTACAGGCGTATACTCAATAGGTATCATTCTTGAGACAACTGGCAGTCGTAGTAGTTGTTGTTGCGGTTGTGCTTGTGGTTGTGATTTCGTAGAAGCAACAGCAAAATAGTAGTACTAGTAAGAACCGTGAAGATAGTGACTCGTAGTAAGACGAAGAATTTGAATAGTAGTCGCAAGAAATAAAAGTGGCAATAAGAAGAATGACAAGCATGACAGAACCTTCTTCGAGAGGTGAGGCAAGGTTCCTCAGAACCGCCCCAAGAGGTCGTTGAGTTAGCAAGATCACGTTGCTTTAAGATGCTTTAAGCTGAACCCCGAAAGTAATGATGTTTTCGAGGAGGCTCGTGCCTGCATGGTGGAAGCCACGAGGAGGCCCAATCGGGGCATATGGTCAGTTGAGGGTTTTGTGCCGAGTCCGGGTCTTGCAGGGTTTGACTTTGTGAGGAATTGGGATGCAGACTGTTGGTGCTGCTGCTGCGTCTACTTGCCAGGTGCCGCCAAAACTGGCGGATGTGGGCCGCCTGGCATTCAAGACTGCATGACATGACCTCTGACCTATTGCCGTTAGGGTTCATGGTTCAGGGGTTGGGTTTGAGGTGTGGGTTTGCGAGCAACATCTAATATGGGATTGCGACGGTGGACTGAGAGCTTGTCGTGTGCAATATGGAGGTCGGAAAGAGTTAGAAGTAGCATTCCGGCATTTCCCTTATCATCCCTATATACCAGTATAATATAGTACTTTTATTAACTCCCCTATCTTATCAACTTCCCCATCTAGTTATATACCCAAGCCGAGTGAATTTATCAACAAGGTTGAGGATTAGAAAGATCGTTTCAGCGGTTGAGATGGCCTCAGCCGGGGATATTTTTTTCAGGCTTTGGGGTTTAGGGATTAGGATGCTTGGGGGTTGAAAAAAACATCGCGGAAACGTCCTGGAGTATGCACGAGCTCTCGACAAGCTGTCGGGGCCATAGTTTTGGTTTCTGCATGAGCGGAAAGTCGGTCATGGATCCTTCGGAAACCTGATGGGGAGCCCTTGCGAATGGGTTTTGGGACTGAGCTACTGCAGTGTGTTTTCCGCGAGGAATCTTGGGCAAGGTGGCTTTGAGACAGGAGTGCAGGGGGCGAGGGGCAAGAAGGGTTCAAGAAGGCTGGGCCATCGATGCCATTTTCTGTGACTTACGATCAAGAGGGTGCTTTGGATATCATAGGCCTTGCCATGAACATTGGTCCTCTTTAGCTCTGCCCCGCCAGCCGAGTTTTAGAAGATGACGTAACTTTCCATCGACTTTTAACAAGAGTCTAACCTCCTAAAGTCCTAAAAACTCCAGGCTCCTTGACCGTAATCTCAGAGCCCAGGAGAGCTTCATGGGCATTTGCATGAAGCCTTGGCCTGAGCTTTATGCCTAAGGAGCTTTCGGGGTCACAAGCTTAAGGGTGTCGGTTTTGGTTCTGAAAGGTCTTTTACGGTGTTCTGTTTAGACCGGTCTCGCAGGCCTCAGTATGGACTTTCGGACAGAAGGGAGCTAACTTCAGCCTGGTGTTCATTGCGCTTCCTTGATTAGGTCCCTATCCTGCACCAGGCTCCGAGACATCCCCGGTGTCATCCAAGCCTTGCCTCTCGCTCGCATGAGAAGCAGACAACTGTACATATATGTGCATATTGTCGTGCAGTGTAGCATCAGACATAGGGAAACCTAGCTCGGAATGTCTGTCAGGTATATAAGCTGTATGTATGTGTATACTATGCATGTGTCTATATATATATATACACACACACACACATATATATATATATATATATTATATAAGCATGCTGAGCATGATTTTGGTATTATGTATGAAGGAAGTTCCAGATAAACTTTCCAGTGCCGGAACTGTTGCACTAATTTGTCTGCCTGTCTGGATCGACCAAAACCTTCAAGTGGCCCTGCCTAAAAGACAATAATAGCTAAACAAAACCCAGCCATGCTAGTTAAGTTTGTAGAAGAGGACTCATAGTACCTATATAATAATCACAGCCCGAACACTGGCAATTCGTAGTACTGGTGGTACTACTAATCGCATGACCAGTCCAGTAACAGTCAGTAGAGGCGTCGCCTGGTGGAGCTTGGGCAAATGGGCCGAGTGAAGCGAAGCGTCCTGACGCTGGTCACACAGGAACTTGCCCGTGTTACCCTATAAGCCCTAGACCCTATAATTCTGCGAGAGCGAGAGTCGAAACCCGATAATTGTCCAGGCTTTGGGGGATGTAGGGTTTTTGGGCCAGGGCGATTGCACAAGCCCTGATCCAAAAAAAAGGGTTTTCGGGCAGCCCTGTGAGAAATCCGGCCTCGGGGTCTTCTGCCTGTTTCGGAGTCGTGTTTTGGCTTCCCATAGGGCTTCTCACGTTGATTGATAATCTATAAGTCCCTCTTGTCTCTGCCAGTACTTGTGTGTGTGGACTTGTCCCCCTTGTGTGCATTTGTGCAGAGGCCTGGCTGTTAGTCCGGTTGTCTCTATATCTCTGCGTACATATTCGGTCTCTTTGTCCTTCTGTCTCTGCCTATTTCTCAATCCTCAACGTTCCTTTGTTTCTATCAGTCTGTGGGTTTCTCCCTCTCTCTCTCTCTCTGTCTCTCTCGCTGCGTAATGGATGGACTAATTTATATAGGTATGTATGTATGTACATATGTATGCCTGCATGCATGTGCCTGCGATTGTACTCATGTAGGTCTATCGGTATCAGTGTTTCTTGTCGTGCATAGATGTTTTTTTTCTTGCATGTATGTGTCTCCGCGTGTATGTCCGTGCCTGCATCCACTCTTGTGTGCATGCTTCATCTTGGTTGGTATATGTATATATATATATATATATGTAGATACATACACACATGTGCATACACCTATGCATATACATACATATATACATGCATATATAAATACATACGTGCATGATGTCGTGACTCCTGATGTTCCTTTATGTGGTCGGGAGGATGTGTACATAAACACATATATATATATATATACACGCACATTGAATATATGTAGTTAATGCATGTACACGGAAGCGAATTTAGATTTACTTCTCTACCCGTTGTCTTTGCATGTGTGTGTATTCGGACAGCAACTCGGCCGATCTGTCGCTCTCTCTCTCTCTCTATCTCTTTCTCTGTTTCTCCCTGCTTATTTCTATCTGTGAGCATGCGACCATAACCATTCACCCGAGATTCGCAGGCCGTCATAGTCGACGCAGACGGTCTCTACGAAGGCCGCACTGGCAGGACTGTGCGTGTGCTTAAAGCAGGGGCTCAAGGTTGATTCGGCCTTGAGGTGCCCTTTTCCTCGGATGTTTTTGGATGTAGATTGATACTGCCTCCTGCAGCTTGCTGAAGGCATTTTTTTTTGGGGGGGGGGCCGGCAGGCTGATTCACGTGATGGTATATGATAATATAGCCCAGGCGGCTCCTCACGACCAGGCCACATACATTTGTATACAGTATGTCGTGATTATTTTGCCGGGCATTGCTTCGCAATGGCGTCGGCTATCGTGCCCAACACACTCTACCTCGGGCCAGAGGTAGCGGTCGCCGAGACGGTCGGAAAGCTGCACCGCACGGGCCACAGCGTGCTCGTGATCCGCTGCATGGAGTCCGCACCCGACAGACCGGACTACATTGCTGCATTGGCCACTGATCAGCTTGATTGCGCAACTTCCCAAACCGAGCTTCTGCATCTGGTGCTGCGAGACGAGGCAGAGCAGACGCTGCAGGGTGCAATCGATACTGCGACTGCAGCGGTGGCAAGGTGGCTGTGTCTCCCGCAGGAGGCAGGAGGAGAAGAGGCCACTGACGACACTGTACATGCTGGTGACTGCAAACCCGCCTCTGCAAAGCTGGAGCGCCCTTGCCACGCTGTGGTGGTGCATTGCGCCGCCGGCGTGAGCCGCAGTGCATCCATAGTAACAGCACTTGTGATGACCTTCGGTGCCAGACTTTGTGGCCCCACAGTCCTGGATCCACAGCTCAGCGGCACACAGCCGCGGGTTGATGGTGGTGCTGTCGGCCTGGAGCGTGCCTTAAGCTTCGTCGCGAGTAGAAGACCGGTAATCTCCCCAAATGAAGGCTTCCTCGAGCAGCTGATGACATACGAGGGGCAGCTGCGCGCCGGTGGCGGCGACGACGGCTTGCAGCCGACCTTCGATCCGATCCTGCACAAGGTACGCACAGTCGCAGCAGTGTGTGCGGTGACTCCTGAGCTGGCTCGCCGTGCTCTCGACAATGCTGGGATGGATATCAACAGGGCAGCAGAGTTTATCTTCACCGGTGTGGTGAGCTAAACTTTACACAGGTCAAGAGGAACGTGCAGACGGCATCGACAAATCAACTTCCATGAGCTTGGCAACTATCGGCCTCTAAGCACGTGTTGATGTGGCTGCAACCCTGCAAATTGGTCTTTTCGGCATCATCCAAAGGCTAAGCAGGAGGTCAGAAAGCCGAGGCTTAGAGCATTGGCAAAGTCGAACGTGAGTTCGAGTGATCGTTTGCCAGATAGCTTTGGGACACATGGCGGGTAGACTGTGAAAGCTTGTGCTACAGCTTTCACACACTCTCTCTGTCGAGGCGAAATCAGTACCTGGCCGAGGGTCTTCTCCGGTTTTGGGTCTCGTCCTCAACCCGAAAACCCTTGAACTCCTGCTGGTTTTACTAGTCAGAGCAAATCCAAAACCCTTGAACCACTGCTTCCTTTGCTAGTCAGCTAGTCTATGATATATCGTAAGACGATCCAAGCAGGAGCTGTATGAGGCAGCTCCTCGACTTCTACAAGTTCGCCACGGACCACACCGCATCGCGGCACGACTTCTGGAGCCCCTCGGAGCAATGCAGTATTCAGAAGCATCGAGGCTTCGAGGTTATGTCGGGGCCTTAATCATTATCTGTACTATTCTCGGGGTTCCTTATTATAATTACAGTACAATATACCCCAAAACTCTATTCTAATTATCAAGGCCCCTACATTAATTAAGGTTGATACAGAGGACTAGTTTCGGTGAAGGTGCCTTTTTGAGTCTGGGCCACGGCTGCTGTGGCTGCTCCGTCTAAACATACAGCGACTGTAAAAACATCGTCATGGTTTCGGTCATTGTTCGGGGGAAGGTCGCCACGAGTCGGGGCCTCTGCCAGCAGCAGCAAGTGCAAGCCAGATGCTGACACCATGCTGAGAGCGGGGTCGTTCGGTGTTGGTGGTTGTGGCTACGGCTGTGGCTGCGGTTATGGTGGTCTGGTCCATCAACTTCGAAAACATTCCTCAGAGCCCAGTTTCAAGTCCTCCAGTGTCCATTTTGACCGGTACGTCTTTCAACCTCACGTGCTTGAAAGCGCTTTGCAGGCCAGTATGCGAACCTCCAGGACGACAAGCAAGACGGGTTACCGGGGTTTTGTATCATAAGGGCTTCTCAATGACTGGACAAGGGCTTTGGGACATATTTGGGCGTGACTATGTAGGGACTCTAGCATGGGGATATAAATATATGTATGGACTTAGACTATGCTTGTTCTCACTACTCCGAGGAGGGATCTTTTTTCTTTTTGTGGTTTAGATTTCCTGTAGCCCACTTTTGGCGGTTTGGGTTCCCCATACAGTAAACGAGAGCCAACAAGCAGCATCTTGTTTTGTATTCTTCATAATAGGAACCCAGTTGCAGCCACGGACAACAAACACAACAAAGAAACGACTACGATCGCATGTGACTGTACTTCAATCCTACAAAAAGTAGTCAAGGAAAGAGACTGTTCCAAGCCCGACGCTCCGCTCCCAAAGCCCTACAATGCCGGAGCCCGGAGCCCTAAACCGTCAACTCCCGAAGCCCTAAGCCACGAAACCGCTGCCCCGGCGGGGAAGGCAAGAAACCCGCTAAACCACTAAAGCCCTAATGATTCGAGGAGGCTGCTGGAGATGTCTCCGGCGCCTTAGAAAGCCGGCTGCGGGAAAGCAGGGCTCTTCAGGCTCGGGGATCCGGGAGGCGAGGGTCCAGGTACAGTCAGTTTTTAAAGTGTTCGGGTCCTGGGCTTTAGGGTCTTCAGCTCTTTGGTGTGCAACACGCTTCGCGTGCTCAGCCATAAGCGCTGGCGTATGGAGCTTGGCTGAAGGGATTCAGGGCTCAGTGCATTGCAGGCCCTGCTCAAAAAAGGGACTCAGGGCCCAGCTGCAAAAAGTGTTAAGTTCAGGTATAGGGTGTTAAAGGATTCTTGTGTGCTGGGGTTGTGTAACGACTTGGCCAGTATCGGACAGACGGGGTTTCTTCTGGACCAGTTGGATTCCCGCATCTTCTCATCATTTCAGAACATAGACGACACAAGAGCCATCGGTAGGAGTATGGGGTCTATGGCATTGATCATATGTGGGTCGCACAATGCATACACACATGACACGCCTGCGGTATTTCAGGGTGCTTACAGACAGAAGCATGCCCGCACTTGTGCATGCATGCGTATGAGTATATTGACACACTCAGATCAGCTTTTCTGCTTGCTCGCCAGGCACGATTGTGGGCCGTGGCCTTAGCTTCTTCAGCCTCCACGACCCGAAGCCCTACGCCCTATGTAAAGACTATACATGACTCTAAACCCTAAATCCCTAAGCCCTAACCCCTAACCCAAAGCCAAAAACCCCTCACCATGCGCCCTAACCTTATAGAACCCTAAAGCCCTAAAACCGCTAAGCCGGCTGCTGGTTTCGCAGACCGGGCCAAGGATGAGAACGACCCGGCGGTCTTCAGCGACCTTCTCCAGGACTGGAGCTTCAGCTAGCTAGTTGTAGTAGTCGTAGTAGTAGTAGTAGTAGTTGTAGTAGTACTAGTCGGGGAGGGAGAGGAGGATCAGTTTGTGCCGAACGACATCTGACGGATCAGCCTTCCTTGCCTCGATCACCGGACCAAAGCGCTTGCTGCCTCAGCAAAGAAGGCTAGCAGGGTCTTTGAAAGGTTTAGTAGTTTGGGGTTTGGGGTTGCAGGGCCCCACCAAACAGCCAGAGTACCACACTCAAACATCGGCTAAGGAAGCCCAGTTTGAAGCCAAGCGAACCGAATGGAATCTAAAGAGGCCGAGTCTAACCTAGCCCGAGACCAGCATCGGGCCTGACCCAAACTAACCCAATGGGCCCAACAAGCCTGCCCTGACCTGAGGTTTGAGCTCACCCAAGCTAGACTCACGCAGCGCTGACTTAACTTGCCCCAACACGTATTCTGGTACGTGCTTGGTGGGACTGCAGGATATCTCCCTTCCCTTTGAATCCTGCCGACCTCTAGCCGTGAACGCAGCGAATGGCAGGACTTGACCGGCTGTCTGGACTTGCTCAACGAAATTCTAGATGACCCAGCTGCGAAAGAAGCATCCAAGGCCAGGGTTTCCGAAAGTCGAGGCTGAGTCCTACCAAGCTTGACATTCATGCAAGCAGCTGTCTGTCAATGTGGCGATAGAAACGCACCCTAAATCCTGAACTCTAAACCCACATGATATGTCGTTTACAGTAATTGATAAGATGCATGGTAAACTCATATCTGACCTCGCCTGTGAGCATTGTTCTCTGCCATGCGAGAGGGAAAAAACCCGCATGATTTTGGGCCCTAGCCCTAGTCAGGCGCATGTGCAGCCGTTTGCCTACCTGGCGCGGGACGCAGCGAAGCGATTGAAAGACAGGTTCGACATGACGGTCCAGGACACGATGCACGTTTCAAGCTTGCGTCGCATTGGTGCGATTCTTCGGAAGGGCCGTTTCCCACGATGCAGCATTCTTCCGTAGGGTTGTTCGGAAGCCTGTTGTCGTTTCCTGTTCTCGCTCTTGGACTCTCTTTGGCCCGCTTTCGCTCTCTCCCTCTCTCTCTCTGTCTGTCTCTGTTTCTCTCTTTTCCTCTCCCTCTCTGCCTATACATCCGTAAAATGGTGCTTGTGCATCACACAGGAGCCCAGTTGGGTTCAATCGGTTTCGCATCTGCAGAAGATCGCCGATAACGCAGAGAAACGATTGGCAAAGCTGGCAGCCCGGCTTGAAGAATGTGTGATTACAGGGTGGCATGACCAAATTACTTACGGCATCTAAGGAAGGATGACTGCACGAAGCGTTGCTCTCCCTTCCAAACAATTTTAGCACGTGTTGACGTGCTTCCAGAAGTTTACTGGCGTGCCATTGTACAGGAGACAGATCCTCGCTCATGAGCACTCCAGGGACAGCCATGGGAAATGTCAGACGTAAGACTTGCTAGGAGTCAAGCTGCAGCACCCACTCTGTGTGCTAATTGCCAAGTACTATTAGGTAGGGAGGATTGCTCTCAGTGCTCAAATTCTTGGAAAAAACGGGTTCTTGTTCGCCGCCCTGGCTCAAAAGTCTAAGTAAGCCTCGCTTTAGTAGGTTTAAATAATATCGAACGTGAAGCAAGGCAGAGTTACCCACCCACCGACTGCATCGACCAACACTGACCACGAGCGTTTCTTATTGGGAAACTCTCGGTAGGAGGTCTGGGGTTGGAGAGACTCGGAAGTGATGATGCAGATGCCTGCGTGCTGCAGACTGATTAAATAGGCAAGAGCCCCCTGATAGTTGTCTGGCTAAATCTCCCCATATAGCAGCGCAGCACACCAGGCTAGATTGATATGGGCGTTGTTCCATGTTCACTGTATACACCCAGACGCACACACACATACACATACGCATACACACACACACACATATATATATATATAGGTACTCATATATTCATATATTTATGTATACATATATATATATATATGGATAGAGTGCTACCTGTATGTAAACAACTCTATACATGCAAGATATATGCACTACGTAACTACCTACGTACATACATGCATACATTACGTTACGTTACGCTACGTTACGTTACATTACATTACATTACATTCCATTGCATACATACATACATGCATACACACACATATACACCCATACACACCTACTCACATACGTATATACATACATAAATATGTGTATATTGTACATGTACATACATCTGTTTTTGCAGTGTTCGCCATTGAGCATGGACCCACGCGGCTGGCATGCCTTGTAGCCGCAGCTGCAGGTCATGTTCGAGGCCTTGGGCATTTGTTAATGCATGATCGCGTAACTACGTACCTGCACATCCCCACGCTGTTCCAGATATGTCAGCCATACGAGCCGCCTGATATTTCAGCCTGCCATTGCGTGCCCTTGCATGGCGAGACCTTAGCGGATGGCACAGGAGAGAGAGAGAGAGAGATCCATATCTCCTTGAAGGCCCCCACAAGGCCCCCAAAACAGGGGTGCGCCATCCGGCGCGGGGTGCTTAACACGCACCTCATGCCCCGGAGAACAGAACAGAACAGAGAGAGATCACAGTCCCTTCAAAGCCCCATAACACATGGGGGGCCCATGTGGCCGAGGGACCTAACCAGTCCCTGGAAGAAGAGAGAGAGAACCGGTTTTCACACCATACCATCTTTTCGTCCGCAGCTGAAAGGTTACAGAGCCTGTGCGAGGATAAAAAAAAGCCAGTGACAGACCGAAGCCTCACGTATTCCCGCACTGTGAGCTTGGTGGAGACCAGCATGAGCAACTGCAAGGAGTTCGCCAAAAGTTTGGCATCGTCGTCTGAAGTGAAGGTCGCAGGCATACCCTCAATTCCCATGCAAGGTTCTTCCCCCCAAACTTACCCAGCAGCCCGAGAACATCCTCCATCAAGCCGTGTACATCCTCAAAAGTCCGGAGGACTCGATATGTGATTGTGTCTGGTGCAGGGCTTTCTGGATAAAACACCTCAAGACTAACGCCTACAGCCTCCAAGCAACTCACCTTGTATCCCGTAAATCCCACCGTCAACCCCATAACCCCGAACGTAAATCCTAAAACCAACACCCATGAGACACGCAGTTCTTTCTAAAACACAACACATGTGAAACACGTGCAGGGGGCTTCCTCGCTACCTCTTGATACCCGCAGCCGCAGCAGTTTCCGGCCCGGCTTGCCTGAGGCCTTCGTCATTGATGCTCAGGGGCTTTAGGGTTTGGCTTCAGGGTTTGGAGTTTGGGATTAGGGTTGAAGATGTTACTTCTACTATCGGAGATGGTGTTGCTCATGTTTTTCCTGTTGCCGTGCACTTGCTCGTACCAACAGTATCCTGCACTTTACATATTTACACCTCTATGAGAGGTGGGGGTTCAGGATTCACCTGTCCGGCTTACTGATGTGCCGAAACTGTAAGATAGTATAGCACAGACGCGATGTATGCTTTCAGTGTTATCCTACTGTGTACACATGCATAATACCGCGGCACGTACCACGGTTCGAGCGTAGTCCCAGTTCCACGCAGGGTGGGCTATAGTGAAGGGATTCAAGCGCAGTCAAGACCCAACCACATGGTTTATCTCCCCGGAGCTTGTCGGACAGGTCTGTAGTGCGCATATGACGTGGTAGGTAAAGTGGCCAGACTGTGGTATTGCTCACTGGAGTTTATTCCTTGCGAGACGCACAGATGGTCACTTCAGTTCGGGTCTTGTCAGAAGGCCCCTTAATCAGTTAGACTCCCACATGATCTTGCTGGCGTAAGACAAGAGTTATGAGGACCTGACGACCTAACCGCCAGCCTCGGATCAGAGCAACCCCGCCTGACAGATATATAAGTAAGCAGGCTACGGCCACGGCTAGTACCACCGATGTACTGGTGCTGGGCATAAATGATGAATGAATGCGTGTTTGATTGCATGGCGCAATGCATGGATGGATGAACGAAAGAAAAATGGATGAATCCACGAATGAAAAATGAATGAATGAGAGAACTAATGAATGAATGAATGAACGAATGAATGACTGAACGAATGAACGAATGAATGAATGAACGAACGAATGAATGAATGAACGAACGAATGAATCAATGAATGAAAGAAATGAATGAATGAATGAATGAATGAATGAATGAATGAATGAATGAATGAATCATAAATGAACGGATGAATTGAATGAACTGAATGAAGTGAGTGAATCAATGAATGGTTGACGTGTTTTGAAATGCCATGAAAAGAGATGAGATGGATGGATGGATGGATGGATGGAGTGGATGGGATGGAATGAATGAATGATTGAATGCATGAACGAAAGGAAGTTCAGGGAAATGAATATAGCTGCAACCAAATGAAATGAAATAATGAATGAGTGAATGAATGACTGACCGAGAGAATCAATGAATGAAATGAATTAGTGAATGAATGAATGAATGAATGAATGAATGAGTGAATGAATAAGTTAATGAAATGGATGAACGAATGAATTGAATTGAACTGAACTGATGGAATGGACTGACATGAATAAGTGAATGAAGTGAGTGGAGGGAATGGCTGACACGAATGAATGAATCAATGAATGAATGAATCCATGAAAGAAAGACTGACACGAAAGGAAATGAATGAATGGGATGGGATGGAATGGAGTAGAACTGAATGGAACGGAATTAAAGGGAATGAGTGAATGAATGAATGAATGAATGAATGAGAACGGAGGGTCGCTGGATGGATGAATGAACGAACGAAACGACCGAAGGAAGGAAGACAGAGACAGACTGACTGACTGACTGGCTGACTGCAAGAGGGAATGGAATGTTGTGGAATGACATGACGTCGCATGAAATAGATTGGAAACGAAATATGGAAAGGAATGAATGACATGAAATAATTGAATGACTGATAGAAAGCATGGGCAGACATGAGCGATATGAAAGAGATGAAGTAAGTGTATGAATTAGTGCGTGAGTCAGTGAGAGAGTGAATGAATGAATGAATGAATGAATGAATGAATGAATGAATGAATGAATGAATGAACAAGTTAATGAGTTGATACAGTGGAACGGAACGGGTGAATTATTTTCATGGCACGGGGTGGAATGACATGCAAGGAGACGGGGTTGATAGAAACGATTGATGTGAGAAGAGATTACATGGAACGAAGATATGCGTGAATGTCTGCCGGCTCGAAGCATACGAATGATGCGCAATGGCATGCAATGCGATAAAGTAGCATTGAAACGAGTACTGTGAGTCATTCATTGATAGGTTGTTGGACGGAGGTGCGGCCAGTGGTGGTGATGGTGATGACGCGGTGACTAGGACACACTACCCAAATTGCAGGCAGCGGTGTCCCTTCCGCTTTCCGGTAGCTTCGCTCAAGCACCCGACACACCGGAAGCTCGGCCGGAGGGCTCTATGGTTTTGATGGTGACACTCGGGGTCGGGATCTGCGGCATCTATGGTTTCGGGGGTAAGCCTCCTGACAAGACTACACATGTGGAAATCGAGGGCACGCACCCAAAACGAACATCGTGAACTGGACTCTATCGCAGGGGTAGGGTGGATAGTTTGTCTGCTCGTCGAAGAGAGTTCTTGACTTGGTTTTGGATTTACGGCTGTCCTTTCACGGATCACATTTGAAGGGAACACACCAACCAAGATATTTCCTGCTGTGGTTCCTACGACAGGCCCTGTCTACTTTGGGGGCATCCGAAGCATTGGGCCGCCTTACGAACCCAAGCCTTCAATGATAAACCTTACGGACCCACAGAAGTCTACGACATGTGTCTATCGAAAGCCACATGAAGCACTCTGATGTTCTTGCTGTTGTTACAGCTCACCTCACAAACATGTCATGATATGTTGGTCATGACGGTCGTGACATGTCATGCTGGTCGTGTCGCCGCCATGGGTAGGGCCCTCGACTGCCATGATTTTTCTGAACTGTCCTCACAAGGAAACTGTGAAGCTTCT